GACGATTTCATGGGATTATGTCGAGATATTCTCCTACGATTGCCAGCTGCTGGTGAACCTCCTACCTTGGATGGGAAGACCCCTACGAATAACGCCCAAGATTCCAATAAGAAGGATAAAAAGGATAAGGAGAAGGAGAAGGTCTCTGAGGACAAGGACAAGAATTCTGCCAAGCCGGAGAAGAAAGGTAATAACGCTGCCAAAACGTGTTATCATTGCCAAAAGGTTGGCCACGTTCAAACAGATTGCTGGTCGAAATTTCCCGAAAAACGCCCTACTAGCCGCGGCGGAGGTAAGGATAAAGATAAGGATGGTACAGGCCCTGCGCCGGTTCATAATGTCGTTGAGCAAGTATTCCATACGACAGAGAAGGTTTATTCTACTGGCCAAACTGGCAAAGATACCTGGGTCCTGGACTCCGGATCAGGAGCTCACGCTACGCCTTGCAAAGATCTCATATCGATAGTGCCGCAGAAGGTTAATGTCATATTGGAGATGGCCGACGGATCGACGGCTCCTGCAACGGCTATAGGGAAGGTGGATATACCAGTAGAAGGAGCGAATCTGCCGCTGCAGGACGTCCGCTACGTCCCCAAATTGGAGGTTAATCTTATGAGTTTTGGAAAGCTCGTACGCCAGGGCTATACTTATAAGCAACTAACCTACGGGAACACTCATTCGATCTTGCTAACCTCTCCTGACAAGATGTTCAGTTTCACTGCCAATTTGAGTGATAAGGACATCTACGTTCTTGAAAAACCACCAACGGTTAGGGATCTGATTCGATTCGCGATGCCTAATGGCGAATTTGAACCTGCGAATATCCTACGGCCCGCAGAGGGAAAAGAGGATCCCCTGCTGGCATTGCCCAAGAAGGATGTCAAAATTATTGAACACACAATGTTGCAATGGCACCAAAAGCTTGGCCATCTCAACCCCGCGGATATCGCTAAATTAGCGGCAGATCCACGCCTAGGAATGAGGATCAAGGGTGGCAGAGCTTTGCCATTCTGCAAGACCTGTGTACAGGCAAAAATGGCACGTCCAACATTCGCACCGATGACGAGGACTGTCAAACCCGCGATGAGATTCTTCGTGGACCTTGCGGGTGGCGGTCGTACGCTATATGATGAAGCCAACCTCCCTACTCAGGGGGGAGCTAATTATTGGATGGGCATTACGGATGACGCCACACGCTACAGGTGGATTATCCTTATGATGTCAAAGGGTGAGGCCACTGCGCGCTTGATGATCTTTATCGACGGAATTGAAGCAACTACTCAACGTCGGATTGGAACCTTACACTGGGATGGCGGAGGCGAATTTAAGAGCGACGAATTGAAGACCTACTGCCAGCGAAAAGGAATTGCATACGAGATCACTACGCCTGACACGCCGCAGTCCAACGGCCCTGCGGAACGTGCCAATCGTATTGTAGGTGAGAAGACCAGGAGCTTGCTGTTCGATAGCGGGCTCGCGAGGGAGCTTTGGGGTGAAGCTATCCAAGCCGCGGTCATGATGATCAACACGTCCCCAACGTCAACGAAGATTTACGGATGCCAGGGGGGGACCCCATTATCCCCTTTTGAAGCTTGGACGGGAGTTCAACCATCTGCTCATTGGATACGCAGATGGGGTTGCAAGGTGTATAAGAAGGACCTGAAGGTTACCAATAAGCTCGCGGATAGAACTGACGGCAAGGAATGGCGGTTAGTTGGCTACCAAGGATTGCACCAATATCGTATCTGGGATCCTGCGACCCGTAAGCTTGAGATAGCAAAGGATGTCGAAGAGGATAAGCTCTACTTAGGGATGGAAGTCAAACGCCAAAAGAATGGAGATTTAGCGGTCACGCAGAGCCGTTATATCGACGAGATCCTCGAAGATTTTGGAATGGATAAGGTCAATCCGGCAGGGACCCCTATGGCGGCGGGTATACGGCTCGAATTCTCCCCTGACGAAGACGGAGGTCTAGATGACGAATTTACCCATACAAGATACCGTCAAGGACTGGGTTCGTTGCAATATTTGGTTACGAGTAGCAGACCTGACCTAGCGTTCGCGGTCAACTACTTATCAAGGTTCAATTCTCGTCCGAATAAGGATTGCTGGGCGGCGTTCAAGCACGTCCTACGCTACGTCAAGAAAACGAAGAAGATGGGTATCCTATATAGAAAGGAGATAGGGAAGGACGGGTTAAATCCTGTTGCTTATTGTGATTCGGATTGGGCGGGCGCGGACCCCCAATTCAAATCGACATCCGGCTACGTTATAATGATTAACGGGTCCCCTATTTCATGGCGTTCGCAGCGTCAAACCTCCACTGCGAAATCGACCACGGAGGCCGAATATATTGCTGCCAGCGAGGCTGCGTGCGAATTGGTCTGGCTCAATGACATGCTGTATGACGCCGGATTACTGGAAGGAAAGGGAAAGATCTGCTCAAATCTGCAGGTTGACAATAAAGGTGCCATCGATCTTGCGAAGGGGGAGTCCCTAACCAGACGATCAAGGCATATAGAGATCCGCTACCATATCCTTCGAGAACTTGTTGAAAAGGATGAGATAGAGCTCCTCCACGTTGGTTCTACTGCCAATAAAGCGGACGGATTTACGAAGCCTTTGGCGAAGCCCGCATTCGTTGATTTCGTTGAGAAGTTAGGATTGGCGGAGATTAATTGATTTTTTTTGCGGCCCAGGATGGGTGTAAGGGGAATACGGGGATGGATGGTCATTTGCGTGTTTCTTTTGATTTTTTACGGTTATGACCCGTACGGGCACCTTCCCTAATCGGGTAATCAGGGTCCGAATCGTGTAATTAATTATTATTGCGGATTTGGATGATTTGGCCGGGCAGGCGTGGATCGGGTGTTTTGAACTCGGCGGCGCCGTAGCATGGGGGGGTGTAGGTGGATACTACGGCTACCCTAGATCACGTGCTTCCCAATCTTATTTAGTTGTTGCTCGGCTAGTTAGTTTAATACATAACTAACAACGTTCATTCTATGATAAGCCACCTCCCTACTATTGATTTTGTCAGGTAAACAGCGCATGCCAGGAGTTCCCTTCTAGATTAGTACCAAGCATCTTCTGTATGCTAATTCAATTCAACAATCTGATTAGGCTCAGCTCCAGATCTTGAACCTTAGTACTCTGTAGTCACTTGCATATATGTGGATTTTTAGGCTGTGTTGTATAAACATTTAAATTTCTTGTTCCTCTGTTGCTATATGTTTGATGTCTTCATCTCAACTACCTTAACCACAACAAAACCGTCAACATTTCAAATAAAAATAGATTAAAAATTTGCTGCATGCCACACTGTGTGTATATTATTCTATTAAAAGGAATTACAGATCTAAAAAGAGTCTTAGTCTACACCCTGTATACAAGTACAATACCAGCAAGAGAAACGACACGAGAGGTTGATATCAACATATACTGTGGGGTCGTGTACTGACGCCGTGAACTACCGCGGCATGTTTCCGCAGGTCCATCTCACAGAGGAGTGCGAGGTCGCAGGGGGTGCACCGACGATCATTGAGATGCGCTGTCCGGAAGTGCCGGATGACCCCTACATGTTGAACGTACATTTTCCCACACTGAAAGCATGCCAGCGGATCCGGCGCAGACCCACTGTGAAGGTTCTCAACCGCCCGACACTTCTTCTCCCCAGAGGGAGGAGCTGGGCAACCCTCCTGCCTGATCTTCTTCTGGAGTGGGATATTCTCGCTGTGAGGATCCGTTGGCGGGATCGCCCGTTTCGGCCGCCCTCGCAGTGGACCGCCCTCAAAGAAGCCACAGTACTGTCTCACGGCCTCAACTGCCTCATTCCGTCGTCGCCACTCGTCTTCCAGGGAGTCTGAGGTGAGCCAGGTCAGAAGCTTCTCCAGGAGGTGGATCTGTGCCGGTGGCATCTCAAACTCCGTCCGCAGCACCTCCCGAGCACCCTCGTCGTCAACCGCCGACCCAGACCCCGACAGCTGGCGTTCAATATCGACCACCGCCTGGTTCCGGCTGAACTCCCAGCGCAGCTTGTGTATTAGCTTGTCCTGCAGCCTCCGTCGGGTGTTGCTGACCTCCCGCTGTCGCTCTTGCAGCAATGGCACCAGTGCAGCATCCCGCGTGCGCATGTAGAGGTCGATCAAGTCCTCCCGAATACGGATGGGCCGCCTGCAGCTCAGAGTCCTCTTCCACGGAGGCCCTCTCGACATCGGTCAGGTGCCGGGGCCGGCGCCTGTCGATCCATCAGCTCATTCGAGTCAACACTTGTGAGAACACCTCATCCGGTTTGAGACCACACATGATCTCTTGCAGGCCGGTGTGGCGTCGCGTACGGTAATAGGCGACGAAGGTGCGGTTGGTAGCGTGGTTCATGATCACATTCTTCTGCGAATCACTGACAAATCCTGGTCATCGGCTCCCACGTCAGCACCTTCTCCTCTTCCCTGGGTATACATTCTGAGGGGACAAGAAGGCCGCTACTCACCACTCTCATCAAGCAGCTTGCCCCCGCCGTAGCGGAACTGATGGGAGAAGAACGTGTTGAGAAATCCGTGGATCTCACTCACGCTCTTCAACTGGGAATCTAGCGTGCTCGCACTCATAGGCGTATCACATAGGATGCGAACCTGCCCATCCTGGACATCAACCTTGCAGAAGATGTACCAGTTATCCATTTCCCACTTCAGCGGCAATGGCATCTCCTGACAGCCACCCGCGGGGACCAGCTTTTGGACGTCCTCCATCGTCTGGAGGCTAGAGTTCTCGAACGCCTCAGCATGGAACAGGAAACCGAAAAGGAAGATGTGTGGGCTGAAGAGAAGCGAGACATCGAAGATAATCTCCGGCAATACAAATGTGTTGCTGTGCCCACCGTTAGCATTGAAGAGATGGTCCAACTGGAGATGACACGCTCGTGCAGAGCGGTGCTTGATCACATACAGTTTCCCCATCCCAAGATTTCGCTTGATAAATTCCGGCCTGAAGTCAACCGTCGGCACCGGCGGTCCCCCGTGCGGATCCCTCTGCACGGACAGGAGCAGATCCTTGTATCGGAGGTTCAGGATAGCACTCTCCTGGTTCACAGTGAACAGACCCAGCATGTTATAGAAGCACAGCAGGAGCCGTTGCAGTCCCAGGTGGAATCACTTCTCCCATGTCCGGAGGATTGTCTGGTTGAAGGAACCATATCCTCAATGTAGACGGGGATGTTCTCGCGTGGCTGATTGTCGAGACCGTGCTTGTCGGCCAGAGACTGCATGCCCTATCAGCGGAGACGTCAGTACCACATGGAGACGCAGGAGGGTGTCGTGTGAACGCACTCGCCGAACATCTTCACTCATCTTCTCACTGATTCCGTTTCCTGTCACTTTCCTGTAGTAGCCTTGAAAATACTTCCAGTCACTCTTGAGGGAGCTTGTCTTCTTGGTGCCTTTGAGTTTGCGGCCCCCCTTCCCACGTTCCAGCTTCCCAAGGACCCAGTTCCAGAACCGGTGCAGGTCCTTCGCGGACGCCCGCTGGAGGGCCTCCTCCGCATCAAACCATTGCGGATCGACAGCTGGCTCGGATGCCTTCGCTGCGCAATATCTTCCCGGTGTGAGTGCCGAACACAATACGCAGTCCTCAACAATGCATGGAGCACTCACCGCTGCCAACGATCCCTCGCCGGCAACTTGAGTTTTTTAGTCTGCTTGGAACCGCCATAGTCGGACGGAACGTCCGACAGATCCTCATCCGTGTCATCCAGAGGGTCCTCGTAGAGGCTCTGACGGAGAGGGGTAACGTTCGACCCCTTCGTGCCGTGCATTGGTGCGGGTGTTGGTCCGGAATCACAGTGTTGTGGTCTCTCGTGTTCGTTGCCGGCGCGAGGGGGACTCGTGTTTCGGTCAGTCAAACTCGGTCTCGTGCTCACAGTCAGGTTCGCTACGCGCATCCGCGGCAAACGACTCCTCAGCAGTATGGAGCGGCAGGGGTCACGATGGTAGGAGTGAGAAGGGGATAGAGAGAGAGAGAGAGACGCCGTCCGTGGAGCGGAGGGCGACTGAGCACAGAAGGGGTGTAGAGGAGTGTATATTATCCTCTCATGTCTGGAGAACGGGAGAGTGGACCGAGCTGGAGAGGGACGGCGGACATTATGTAGAGCCATGGTGGCTGGCGGGTGGGCTGGGTGATGAGTGAAGGCTGTGAGCAATCAAGCTGGAGCTGTTTCTGGTGGCCTTGTTGCAGAAAGTCGTGGCGCGCCCGCGAAAGGGGGAGTGGTGATCACGTGATCGTGTGGTCAGTGCGTGGAGGTTGGGCCGTGGGGCCGTGGGCGGAGCGCGCTGCATCGGAGCCACGGGAAACGGTCGTAAGGGCCACGGAACAGAGCTGCCCCAATGCAAATCGAAATTCTTAGAGAGTTTCTTTATGAATAATACAAATGCTGCAATGGATGAATTGTTAATGTAAATAAACTCTTTATTCAGTAATTCATTAAGTGTTTTTTTATGAGACAAAAAGTTTATTATATAATATGCTGTAAAAAAAACTTTAAAATGAATGCAGATTTTTACTATTTTTTTGGATGAGTTTGATTGTATAATTTATACTGTGTTCTCAGTGAGAAGAGAGTTTTTCAATTGTTTTTTCATCAAACACATTTGTGTAATTTTTATATGATTCAGAGAGTTCTTTACAGAGTGTTTTAAAATTCTTAAATTCTAACTTCTTTAATATTTTTTTGATATCTGTCATGCTAGCAGTGAATATCTGAACATCTTTTTTTTCATGTATTTAATATATTAATAGCTTGAATGCTTGTAATACACTTGCTTATCACTTATCACCTGCTTATGTACTCGCTTATCATTTCCTTATATCTTTGTTTATTATTGCCTTTTATTATGTTCTCGCTACCACTATTTCTTTATGTGTAGATATACATCTGCATGTACTCCGCACATTTTCTTTTCTCTTTTTTTCCTTTCTTAGCAATTAGCTACTATTATTCTTCTACTATCATTGCTATTTATTATATTAATATACACTGCTTACTATCTTCTACTATTTACTCTTCACACTGTTATCACCCCTCACAGAATCAGATGATTTCAAATTGAAAAATGATTGAAAAAATTAATGAAGTAAATCATCAATCAATTAAAGAACTGCACATTCACAAATGTCAAGTCAGCTGTTAATCAATCAGAAGGGGTCTTAGCTGCACATTCATCAGAATACATACACTCTGAGCCTGAAAGGTACATATGGAATCACCAACCATCCCAAAGCGGAAGGCCACCCCCCGAAATTTCTTGGCACTACTCCTGAGCCAGCCATCTGAGTTCCTGGGGCGAAAAGTTGCTGGAACCCAGCTTCAGTAAATATTTCTTTCGACACGATTACCAATTACTGACATGGTACAAATATGGCAACCTCCAAATCGGAAATAATAGGTTCCTATCCTATTGGCAACCGACTAGAAAAGTTTCGTGACTTACACGCCGCGTGTTCACTACGACATGACCCTAATGGACTGACCACAGGCGATGAAAACGAGAGTGAAGACGACATAAAAACTCAGCTTTTTGAACTTTTACTGACAATACAAACTCACCCAGCTTGCCGTTTATTATCGTCTGAGGGAAGGCTTGGTCCACTTTATACTTGCCTTCCGAGATTGAATGTGGCAATAGCTTCCAGCTTTGAGATCGAGTGCCTCCTACCCCTTCTAAAGGCAATCCGCGATGGGGAGCCCGACGAGATTATATGGGACAAGGTGTACGACGCCGTCACCGAATCAACACCTCCTCCCCGACCTGTCCCCTCCTTCCAGCAAACACCCTGGAGATATAATACGAGTAGCATCGTAAACTCGAGCGAGCATCGAAAATATTTTGATCCAGCATTGAAGGAGGAGCTCGGTAACCTATACGTGGATGTACCGGGGTTCTACGAGGCGTTTTTTCCAAGGATCGAGTCGCTGGAATCGACCGCCCGGGTGATACTCGAAAGATGTTCGGAAGGGGAGGATCCTCTATACCGCGAGGGGGTCGGCTGGAGAGAATGGGCCAGAGGGCGCGAAGGAGCGAGACGTGCTGGATTGGCTCCAGGGGATAATTGAAGAATTCATTCACCTGTTCGGAGAACATGACCCCGACCGGAATATCCAGAGACGACCTCTCGCACAGCCCAACAAACCCATCAGAGGCTCTACGGCGGAACGGAAACTGGATATTGGCTTTGTGGATGATTCAAATGCCAACAAGGATGCGAAATGTGAGTGGTCTCAGATACTAGTTCCAGGGGAACTGAAGAACGACCCCAAGTACGACAAGCAATCTCACGCCTGGCTCGATCTGGGACGGTATGTCAGAGAAGTGATAACCGCCCAGGACCATCGCTGTTTTGTTCACGGCTTCACCCTATGCGGACCAAACATGAGGCTTTGGCTCTTTCACCGTCTGGGCGGGATAGCTTCCGAGCAATTTAATATCAATAATCAGGGCCTTCACTTTGCTTCGGTTATTCTCGGGTATCTCCTGATGACCGAAGAGCAGCTTGGATTCGATCCAACCATTATCACCGGCGACGATGGCCTGCGCTATATAAAAATAAATCGGAATGGCGAAGAGGAGCGGCTGGTCATCGACGAGGTGATCACACGGCGAGCGTGCGTGGCCGGGCGGGCAACAACCTGCTGGAAAGCGCACCGGGATGGAGATGAATCGAAGACTCCTGTTGTTATCAAAGATTCGTGGCAATATCCGGAGCGTGGTGAGGAGGGAGAACTGCTTCGAGAGGCGCTCGAGAAAGATGTTGTTAATGTGGCAAGATACTACCACCACGAGACCGTTCGTGCGGGGGATGGTGAAGACGATATACATACCGGTGTTTGGAAGGGGCTGGATATTACAAAAGCATCAAATTACAGGTCGAATCAATCGAGGCCGCTTTTGAGTAGGAGTGGTTCTCGTACGGCACGAAAGGATGGCACAAGCAGCCGGAAGCGATCCTCTACTTCCATCGAACCTTCATTACCACCCAGCAAGCGGCAGTCAGTATCACCGATAAAAAGAAATATAAACGAAGCGATACCAAATCGCGTTCACCGCCGCATTGTTGTCGAAGATTATGGCAAACCAATATCCAAGTCCAGTTCCAGGGTTGTCTTGCTTCAGGCTCTGGAGGGTTGCATCGAAGGATACATGTCCTTGTATGAAAAGGCGGGCTTGATTCAGTCTGATATTTCCCCCAACAATTTGATGATAAATGAGGGAGGCAGCGACGGTACCTGTCGTTCATTCCTTATAGATCTTGACCTTGCCATCCGGCGAGATCGAGAGGAATCTAGCGGGGCGAGAGGAAAGACGGGCACCCGGGCTTTCATGTCTATTGGCGTTCTCCTTGGGGAAGGGCATTCATTCATGCACGATCTCGAGTCCTTCTTCTGGGTGCTCTTCTGGATCTGTGTTCACTACGAGGGACCGGATAAAGCAAAAGTTGACGAGGATTTTGAGAAGTGGAACTTTTTGGATATGGAGGAGTTGGCGAAGCTAAAGAAGGGTGAGATAGGTGATGAACAAGATTTTAATTCATCGGCGAAGAAAAGGTTCACATCGTATTATCAGCCGCTTGTTCCTTGGGTTAATCGGTTACGGAAGGAGGTCTTTCCGGATGGTAAGCGATGGAAAAAGGAAGATCGAGAACTACCTGAAAGAATGAAGGAGATTCTCCGAGAGGCATGTGCCGACCCCAAAGTTTAGTAATTTCTGTTTCATGCTTTTTATGTGCTATATATCCCTTGTGCTTCTCTTCGCTACTATAATATTTCTTAGATCTCTTAAATATATCAATTATTGGTCTGATCCAGAGCTGAACCTCATCGAAATCGATGCGGCCCTCCGAGTTGGCATGTAGGGCCCATATCTACATAGAGCAACATAATGGATAGTCCAGAGTAAGTTCTCTGTTCATCTGGTCTAAGGCCGGAGCCACCCTATATCACATGGTAAAACCAGCCAGCCCCAAGTGGCGAGCCTGCGTGCTCGTATCGCTATGCTACGGGGGTGTGGTCAGGCATCTCATGGACTGTGAGCAGAAAAGACGTCTCCAATCGAATTATCACCCGCTACAATCGACTAGAACTCGTACTACGGGAGGCCATGAGAGGAGCACTTCTTGTCTACAGAACAACACGTACACCAGTTGTTCACCATGAGCTAGGGATTCCTCCAGTGAGACTAGGATGAGATTATGTCACTCAAGCTTCGGTCCCTTTCTACGTGATCGAGATTCGGAGACATGCGAGATAACGAATCTAGCCACTCAAAGTAGTAGACTTTCCAGCGCACAAAATAACAATCCCTAGGACGAGTTGTGCTCTTCCGTTCCACGCAGTATATGTGCTGATACGATGGAGCCCCCCCAACCAGCCGGCTCATCGGTCAAAACTCCAACATGTCCCCCAATCACTTCCTGAACCCTCAAATTGACACGACACAACCCGATAGCCATCTGGAATAGTACCGAGGAATTCAACCCCGCAAGCATTGAATGGAGGGCCATGTGCCATTTATCCTCTGTACGCAGGAGAAAAATGATTATCAATTGGCAGGATCCGCTCGCAAACTTGATTGATATCTCAACTGCGGAGAAGTCAGCAATAGCAAGAATAAAAGAGTCCAGGGTCATTTGCCTCTAGAGACATCTGAGGGAGGAAAACCTCCATCATTATCAGTTACACACCCCTGAATACTGGAATAACTGGCCCCTGGCTGTGCTCCATGACTATCTATTAAACTGTTAGTCAGAGTATAGTCAGGATATTGGATATGCTTGCCCTCTTGTGCCTCCGAACACACGCCTCCTCCCCCAGCATCTCGAGCACCTGTCATGGGTTGCGGGCGACTACCTTCATTCAACGCCCTTTCCGCCGAGGCTTTGGGACGATGTGGTCTCGGTTTTGAAAAACCGTCGAGGGGACTGAGAGGTTTCATTCTTGAGTGAAGGGTTGTTCCGCTGGCCATACGATTTCTAGTCACTATTCTCGAGATTGATACAAGTATATCTGGCGCAAGTGAGAAATGATCTGAAAAGAGAGAAACTTCACATATACCGCGAATTATATGTGATATATGGGCAAAAGCTGAAGATGAAAGAGTAGAGAAGAATGCATATTTGAATCTATCGATTCCCTTCTAATTCTTTGTGGAAATCGCAGAGGGTGCACTATAGACCATTAGCATAGCATCATGACCCCCAGATACAAAGTCCTACTTTCCTTCAAGGCCAGTGGAACTAGGCCTTAGATCAATTTGAACATCCAGGAAATAGAGCTGACTTGTTCTAGATGTATCATAAGCCACCTCCAATCTCTCAGAGCCACAGACACCCCACACTGCTGCACATACATTGAATGCAACATTAGCCAGCATGCGAAATTCTGAAGCATGGATTGAATTGCATGTATAACATTTTTCTGTCCCAATATAATCTCTCTTATCTCTAGTCAGTAATGTCTATTATATAATGGCATTATTGATTCTGCGCAAGCTGTACCGGAGATGTGATTGGGAACTCTTATAAGGCAGTGAAGTATAAAGATATGCCTTTGAGCCTGCTTTTCTGACTGACCTCTGCTTCAATTCCTTCACAGATAGTCTTCTCTTTCTCTTCTTTCATGAATTCAAACATTCAGAGTTATTCTTCAGCAGTGAAATTTTGCCTGCTCTGTCAGAGATGTAGAGAAGCAGAATGAACAAGTCACTCTCATTAATGAATGTCAAAGTGTCTATCAATACATTCATCTTGTCGGAAATCTGATCACATTCGCCCGATATAAACCAATCCATCCACCAGATCATCACCCATTTTTCACTGTCCAATATTATCTATCACTGCCAATCAACCTACCTACCATTATTAGTTCAAAATAGGACTAGAGCATAAATACACTAAACTTCTTTTGATAGGTAACAATTTTTGATAACACTCATAGCATTATATAGGATAAATCATGTCCCATTAATGAGATCAGAATCAGTAAGAA